TTGTATGATCGATCACTAGTGCGTATTTTAATTCAGTTGTGACTAAAATACATCAGTTGTTATATGATCGATCAGTTGTGCGTATTTTCATTCAGTTGTGACTAAAATCGATCAGTTGTTATATGATCGATCAGTAGGTGCGTATTTTCATTCAGTTGTGACTAAAATCGATCAGTTGTTATATGATCAATCAGTTGTGCATATTTTCATTCAGTTGTGACTAAAATAAATCAGTTGTTATATGATCGATCAGTAGGTGCGTATTTTCATTCAGTTGTGACTAAAATCGATCAGTTGTTATATGATCGATCAGTAGGTGCGTATTTTCATTCAGTTGTGACTAAAATCGATCAGTTGTTATATGATCGATCAATAGTGCGTATTTTCATTCAGTTGTGACTAAAATCGATCAGTTGCTATATGATCGATCAGTAGGTGCGTATTTTCATTCAGTTGTGACTAAAATCGATCAGTTGTCGTTTGATCGATCAGTAGTGCGTATTTTCATCCAGTTGTGACTAAAATCGATCAGTTGTTGTATGATCGATCAGTAGTGCGTATTTTCATTCAGTTGTGACTAAAATCGATCAGTTGCTATATGATCGATCAGTAGGTGCGTATTTTCATTCAGTTGTGACTAAAATCGATCAGTTGTCGTTTGATCGATCAGTAGTGCGTATTTTCATCCAGTTGTGACTAAAATCGATCAGTTGTTGTATGATCGATCAGTAGTGCGTATTTTCATTCAGTTGTGACTAAAATCGATCAGTTGTTATATGATCGATCAGTAGGTGCGTATTTTCATTCAGTTGTGACTAAAATCGATCAGTTGTTATATGATCGATCAGTTGGTGCGTATTTTCATTCAGTTGTGACTAAAATCGATCAGTTGTTATATGATCGATCAGTAGTGCGTATTTTCATTCAGTTGTGACTAAAATCGATCAGTTGCTATATGATCGATCAGTAGGTGCGTATTTTCATTCAGTTGTGACTAAAATCGATCAGTTGTTGTATGATCGATTAGTTGTGCGTATTTTCATTCAGTTGTGACTAAAATCGATTAGTTGTTGTATGATCGATCAGTAGTGCGTATTTTCATTCACTTGTGACTAAAATCGATCAGTTGTTATATGATCGATCAGTTGGTGCGTATTTTCATTCAGTTGTGACTAAAATCGATCAGTTGTTGTATGATCGATCAGTAGTGCGTATTTTCATTCACTTGTACTAAAATCGATCAGTTGTTATATGATCGATCAGTAGGTGCGTATTTTCATTCAGTTGTGACTAAAATCGATCAGTTGTTATATGATCGATCAGTTGTGCGTATTTTCATTCAGTTGTGACTAAAATCGATCAGTTGTTATATGATCGATCAGTAGTGCGTATTTTCATTCAGTTGTGACTAAAATCGATCAGTTGCTATATGATCGATCAGTAGGTGCGTATTTTCATTCAGTTGTGACTGAAATCGATCAGTTGTTGTATGATCGATCAGTAGTGCGTATTTTCATTCACTTGTGACTAAAATCGATCAGTTGTTATATGATCGATCAGTAGGTGCGTATTTTCATTCAGTTGTGACTAAAATCGATCAGTTGTTATATGATCAATCAGTTGTGCATATTTTCATTCAGTTGTGACTAAAATAAATCAGTTGTTATATGATCGATCAGTAGGTGCGTATTTTCATTCAGTTGTGACTAAAATCGATCAGTTGTTATATGATCGATCAGTAGGTGCGTATTTTCATTCAGTTGTGACTAAAATCGATCAGTTGTTATATGATCGATCAATAGTGCGTATTTTCATTCAGTTGTGACTAAAATCGATCAGTTGCTATATGATCGATCAGTAGGTGCGTATTTTCATTCAGTTGTGACTAAAATCGATCAGTTGTTGTATGATCGATTAGTTGTGCGTATTTTCATTCAGTTGTGACTAAAATCGATTAGTTGTTGTATGATCGATCAGTAGTGCGTATTTTCATTCACTTGTGACTAAAATCGATCAGTTGTTATATGATCGATCAGTAGGTGCGTATTTTCATTCAGTTGTGACTAAAATCGATCAGTTGTTATATGATCGATCAGTTGGTGCGTATTTTCATTCAGTTGTGACTAAAATCGATCAGTTGTTATATGATCGATCAGTAGTGCGTATTTTCATTCAGTTGTGACTAAAATCGATCAGTTGCTATATGATCGATCAGTAGGTGCGTATTTTCATTCAGTTGTGACTAAAATCGATCAGTTGTTGTATGATCGATTAGTTGTGCGTATTTTCATTCAGTTGTGACTAAAATCGATTAGTTGTTGTATGATCGATCAGTAGTGCGTATTTTCATTCACTTGTGACTAAAATCGATCAGTTGTTATATGATCGATCAGTTGGTGCGTATTTTCATTCAGTTGTGACTAAAATCGATCAGTTGTTGTATGATCGATCAGTAGTGCGTATTTTCATTCACTTGTACTAAAATCGATCAGTTGTTATATGATCGATCAGTAGGTGCGTATTTTCATTCAGTTGTGACTAAAATCGATCAGTTGTTATATGATCGATCAGTTGTGCGTATTTTCATTCAGTTGTGACTAAAATCGATCAGTTGTTATATGATCGATCAGTAGTGCGTATTTTCATTCAGTTGTGACTAAAATCGATCAGTTGCTATATGATCGATCAGTAGGTGCGTATTTTCATTCAGTTGTGACTAAAATCGATCAGTTGTTGTATGATCGATCAGTAGTGCGTATTTTCATTCACTTGTGACTAAAATCGATCAGTTGTTATATGATCGATCAGTAGGTGCGTATTTTCATTCAGTTGTGACTAAAATCGATCAGTTGTTATATGATCAATCAGTTGTGCATATTTTCATTCAGTTGTGACTAAAATAAATCAGTTGTTATATGATCGATCAGTAGGTGCGTATTTTCATTCAGTTGTGACTAAAATCGATCAGTTGTTATATGATCGATCAGTAGGTGCGTATTTTCATTCAGTTGTGACTAAAATCGATCAGTTGTTATATGATCGATCAATAGTGCGTATTTTCATTCAGTTGTGACTAAAATCGATCAGTTGCTATATGATCGATCAGTAGGTGCGTATTTTCATTCAGTTGTGACTAAAATCGATCAGTTGTTGTATGATCGATTAGTTGTGCGTATTTTCATTCAGTTGTGACTAAAATCGATTAGTTGTTGTATGATCGATCAGTAGTGCGTATTTTCATTCACTTGTGACTAAAATCGATCAGTTGTTATATGATCGATCAGTAGGTGCGTATTTTCATTCAGTTGTGACTAAAATCGATCAGTTGTTGTATGATCGATCAGTTGTGCGTATTTTCATTCAGTTGTGACTAAAATCGATCAGTTGTTATATGATCGATCAGTAGTGCCTATTTTCATCCAGTTGTCACTAAAATCGATCAGTTGTTATATGATCGATCAGTAGTACGTATTTTCATTCAGTTGTGACTAAAATCGATCAGTTGTTATATGATCGATCAGTTGTGCATATTTTCATTCAGTTGTGACTAAAATAAATCAGTTGTCATATGATCGATCAGTTGCGCGTATTTTCATCCAGTTGTGACTAAAATCGATCAGTTGTTATATGGTCGATCAGTCGTGCGTATTTTCATTCAGTTGTGACTAAAATCGATCAGTTGTTATATGATCGATCAGTTGCGCGTTATTTCATTCAGTTGTGACTAAAATCGATCTGTTGTTATATGATCGATCAGTAGTGCGTATTTTCATTCAGTTGTGACTAAAATTGATGAGTTGTTATATATGATCGATCAGTAGTGCGTATTTTCATTCAGTTGTGACTAAAATCGATCAGTTGTTATATGATCGATCAGTTGTGCGTATTTTCATCCAGTTGTGACTAAAATCGATCAGTTGTTATATGATCGATCAGTAGTGCGTATTTTCATTCAGTTGTGACTATAATCGATCAGTTGTTATACGATCGATCAGTTGTGCGTATTTTTATTCAGTTGTTTCATTCAGTTGTTGCTAAAATCGATCAGTTGTTATATGATCGATCAGTTGTGCGTATTTTCATTCAGTTGTGACTATAAAAATCGATCAGTTGTTATATGATCGATCAGTAGTGCGTATTTTCATTCAGTTGTGAATAAAATTAACGCGACGTACAAAAAGAAACGAAAGTTGATTAAACAACAGGAACCAATCTATTTCAAGTTGACCGAAATCCAGGAAGCAGATGTTGCGACTTATTCTTCTCACAGCGACCATGAAGATGAAATGTTGTTACAGTAATCAATTTGTGAAAGATTGATGTGAAATTTTAAAAGCGCACCAAAGTAAAGGTATGCCGTTTTCTAGCCGTCAAGAACCAGTCTGGAGTAGGTCGAGAATTCTGGGCTAAAATGATAGAAGTTAAGGTCGCGGAAGTTAACGCTGCACTTAATTAATGGTGCGGAAATTAACGTTAGCAAAAATTAACGCGAATTTTAATTTCATGAAGTGTTAATTTCCTATGATAAGGTATATGATCGATCAGTTCAGAGTTGTGCGTATGTTTATTTAATTATGCCTCGAATCGATCAGGTGTGCGTATTTTTATTCAGTGCTTGAAATCGTTCAGTTGTTATATGATCGACCAAAACATTTGTCAATGTGTCTCATATTTTTAATACTTTGCGGCCCAATTAGTTTTAGCTACTGTGACCTATCGTGGGCCCCAATGCAAAATTCTAATTGTGATAATGTAACATGTCGTCAGGTTGCCAATGGATCATTGGTTATACACCTCAACATTTATGAGTGTAATTTAAAAGTGTAAATGTTTTCAGACTGTAAAAGAGGAAATACGTATGACATCAGATGCGAGTGGGAATTTCCGGATTTTTGGCCTTGCATTTCCTAGAAAAATTAAATATCTCTTTTCGCCGCAATTGAAAGCTGTTTAAATCTCATAGCACACAGAACACGTGGACCATAACTTCTCGCAGTGACATGGCATCAGAAAGTAATTGGTCGTCCTTTCTTAACTTTATTGAAGATCTTCTTAATGAGAGTGAAAATCACATGTCAGGTGAAGATTATTCCAAGATTGAAGGTTTACTCGAACCCCTTCATGCTGCCCGCAATGGATGTGAAAGAATAGTTCACGCGCTCACTTCTCTTTCTGAAATAGAACTAGACTCAGAAACTGTTTCAAAGATCAAGGTGTTTTCAGGAACTCTTCAGGGAGTTATCGATTGTGCTGAGAAGAAGTTATACAAGATTAATCCGTCAGTTTACGCTTCCTCTCGTATTCCAGAGGTTCTAGTTCACCGATCTGGTTTTGTTGGCAGACCGCGGGTTGTGTTGAACCTTGTCCAGGTAGAATTCCTCCGTTCCTGGCGTTTCTCGTGGACTCGAATTGCCTACACACTCTGTATATCAAGAACAACTCTCTGGAGGCGCCTTAAAGAGACAGGTTATGACTTTAGCATCGACGGACGGTTCACGCAAATTTCGGACGATTCATTAATTAAAGAAATAGAGAGAATAAAAGAAACATTTCCTGACTGTGGTGAGCGAATGGTGATTGGTTGCCTCATGAGCAATGGGATTCATGTGCCAAGACATCGTGTGAGGGAGTTCATCTGCGTTCAGGATCCTATTGCCGTCCTTCTACGTTGGACGATCGCCACTACACGAAGGAAGTATAGCATCCCTGGACCGAACGCCTTGTGGCACATTGATGGTCTCCACAAACTGATCCGGTGGGGATTTGTCGTTCGCGGTTGTATTGACAGGTTTTCACGAATGATCACCTACCTCAAATGTGCAACCAACAACAAGTTCTAAATAACTTCATTGAAGCTACTTCTAAGTATGGTTTGCCTTCTTGAGTGCGCTCGGATAGAGGTGCAGAAAATGTGGACGTTGCCAGGTACATGAATGCTACTCGCGGTTCAAACAGAGGTTCACACCTTACAGGATCTTCTGTGCACAACCAAAGGATTGAAAGGTTGCACAGAGATACTAACAGGTGCTGTTTGTCGACATTTATTTCCATTTTCTATCACCTAGAGGATCAATTAAGGAAATCTAGATCCTTGTAATGACACTGATCTTTTTTGTTTACAGTACGTTTTCTTACCGAGAATAAATAGGGCTCTGGAGGAATTTCGACTGGGGTGGAATTTTCATTCACTTCGTATGGAGGGAAATTTATCCCCTTACCAAATGTGGATAAGTGGGGTTGTTTCAGACCGTTTTGCCAGCTATACAGGTGTTCGAGACATTCTTGACGCAGAGGTTTCTGAATCGTATGGTGTTGATCCATGTAGCACTTGTGTTTTGGACGATGACACAGTTGCAGTAACAGTGTCAGAGGTAAACAGTCCTTTAAATGTGGAAGAGATGGAAGGACTGAGAGGGAACGTTAATCCTCTCGCCATTAGTTCTGATTATGGAGTGGATCTGTTTCTAAGAGCTGCATGTTACGTTGCTGAAAGAATTGCTCAACGCTGACTGTGCGCCACTTTATAACTAGATGGCAAAGCTAAAGAGTGCCCAGCTTTTTTGTATTTTTTCCTGTGAATTGGGATGTTGTTGTAGCGGAGTACTTGCCCGCTTGTGGTCTCCAAGTGTGGTCTTCCCCCTTGGTTTTAAATACTTCTCCGATTGAAAAATGGCCTATGGAGTTTTTCACTAACATGCATAAGTATACAATGATTATCTCAAAAAAATAATAATGATAATAACTACTCTTACTGCTAGTTTAGCGAGCTACAATCAAAAGATGACTGATTGTATTATTTCTACAACTGCAGTGACTGTCCCAAACGTGCTTTTAGTATTAAGAAAATTTTCCTCCTTTGGTGAAAAAGATTGATACTTACATCGCGCAAAATTTTATTGCAAATCTCGATTTACAAGAAATACTGCGGTTGGCATATGAAAAGGCCGTTTACACATTTACTTAAGTTACGGAACATTACGATGAACAGTAGCAACTTATAGAGGTTATTAAACGAGAGATGGGACTACTTCTAGCCGGATCACGTTAGATGCACAGTAATTTTTAGGAACTTATTATAACTCCAAAAATTGATTTAAAATTTTAGGTATCGGATAACCCCTTTTATGAGATTACTTAAACTCCTAAATTAACTCCAAATTTGGGGTCCTTTTTACTATCAAAAATTTACAGTTCTTTTAACTCCTTTTTGGAGTAAAAATAACTCCCCCCAAAAATAACTCCACTGCAAGGAGTTAAATTAACCCCACTAGAGGAGTTATTATAATTCCTTGAAAATAACTTTTGATCTTAACATAGGGCTTTCAGAAAAGTTCAGAATAACATTATATGCGCAATATGATTGAAAACTACATGTACATTCAAAGCCGTGATTAACTGAGTATATAATTATATATCATTAAAAACGTTCTCTTTGGAGAGCACGTATCCAGTTAGTGTTTGTTCAATACGTCCTTGTGTACTTTTGATTTTATCGACTTGCTATGACATATATAAGGATGAAAAGTAACCATCTTTTTTTCAAGAAAATGGAACATGATTTCTTGCATCAAAGGAAAATTTTTCCCGCCAAAGTTGACACTTAGTTGTCTGACGCAACAAACTATGCTTCACCATGCCGATGACCAGCGTTGAATGAAGCGTGACCTCGTGCATCCAGCAAAAAATTTTTTCCACTCACTGAGGCCACGCTAATTTTTGAACGCAGGAAGCCACACTTCATGTTACTTATATGAATGACATTATATGCGGAACTTCATGTTACGTAGCACCTCACTGACCACAATTCATCCTTTTTGCAAAATTTGTTTTGACTAAAAAATATATATATATATATATACTAACTAACAATGACTAGTTGCAGACTCTCCTTCTCTGAATGATACCGTCAGTATTTTGTATTTGGCCTTCAGAATCATCGCTTTTCTTACTGACGTACTGTTAACACAAATGGCACACCGGGAAATCTGTCCAGAATTTTTTGGATGGAACTCCTCGTATTTCCTCGAATAAGCGCGCGGGCCCTTTTTTCTCATTTTCGGCTTAAGGTGTTTCAATACTGTTTTCGGTAGACAATACTATATGTAGTATCTCTAAAACGTACAAGGACAAAATCACTTTAAAGACGATTGAAAACCATCAGTATGGTCTCTGAAAAACCGTATCGAAACACCTGAAAGGAAGGGGCAAGATTGGAGGGGCACGTATTGGTAGGACGATTACCTTTTCGACGAAATATGGTATTCAAGAAGAAGAATCTCCTTCTGGAACTGAGGGAAGACGAGCGCAAGCTGACACTACATCGTCTTCCTTCAATTCCATTAACTGTGATAAAGTGGCATTAAGTGGTAATCTGTTGCTTGCCTCTTCAACACTTTCGTGAAACAAGATTCGTACCAGGCGCGCATTCATATTTTTTCTTTGGGCAGGTGATGTGTGCGCAGCGAGAATTTCCGCCACGTTGGCATCCACCTGGAATCTCTCTTGTTTGGCCTTTAGATGAAAAATTTCCCCAAGCTCGTCGGTCGAATAATCGGGAAAGGTGAACTTTCTATAAATTCTAGACCTCAGTCCAGGATTTACATTGAGGAACTTTTCCATTTTGTCTTCGTACCCGGCGAAGATCATTACCGGGTCGCCATCCTCCATAACGGCCATCAACTCCTCGATGGCCTCACGGCCGAAGTCCTTGCCACCAGCGGTCGGTATTAACCGGTAGGCCTCATCTATAAATAGGACGCCACCACGAGCTTCCACAATTTTTTGTTTTGTTTTTTCTGTGGTTGATCCTAGATACTGACCTATAAGGTCAGATCTTTGGACCTCCACGATTTTATTTTTTTTAGTTTTCTTTATGCTGAAGAGCAGGTCTACGGAGAAAGTAGAATTCAATGGCAATTACATCATAGTCATGGAGAAAATCATAATCAATACATGCAATATTTGATCTCGCTAATTCTCTTTTTCTAACTCGTCATCACGTCAATGGATAGAAATTCACCCTATAATTACAATGGGGCTAGAATATGATAAGATATGACATTGTCCAGGTTGATTTAGGGCACTTATAAATTAAGTGTTGCGGAAACTGTACAAGCCGTGGGAATGGCATCGCTTTAAAACTCAAAGGTAAAAAAAAATCTAAAATCAGCCCTCTATTGTAACCTTTTTTCCCATAGGTTATTTCTGTTATGAAACTTTGGAATTCTCACCTGCTACACGCCTTGCAAATGGTGTCTTTCCTGTACCAGGATTACCAGCGAAAACTAGGTGTAAAGGTGTGTCCTGCTGTATTTGTCGCCCAAGCCTTTTTCTTCTGTCGTTCTGAAGCTGCGTTCTTGTAAATCTTAGGAACTGCTGTTTCAGAGTTTCCAGCCCAATAAAATCCTTCATGGCCTTTTCCATGCGATGTAAAACCTCTTCATGTCGCACTGGAAAGTGTGAACGAAGTATTACAGATTACGTTACATTTTTAATATTTAATTTGAAGCCTAATAATAAGTTCAATAAATTCAATTCGTTCATGCAAAGACTTAGAGAAGAAAGGCAAAGAAGACCCCCCAAAAGTCCGTAACATTCGCACTAACTAACAAGAATTTTGATTGCAAACAGAAAACATTAAATATCCTGTTATTCTTGCGATATTAGTTACTCCGTCTCTTTAGACAGCAAGAAAAATTCCTGTTACTTTTGCAATTTACAACCTAAATGTTTGCCGTTGTTGCTTGCCAACTTGTCAGCGTCGTGTTGCCTATAGAGGGGTTCAAATCTGGAATGGATTAAGCAAGCACATGAGGACGTCAAGTATCTTAAACACTTTCATTGCTTTTGGAGAAAATTTAAGCGAATTATGTTAACATATTAAGCAATTATTATACAGTTATTATATTTATGTACGATTTCTGTTCCTTTTTTTACTTGTACTATTGGTTTTAAAACGCCCTTGTTAGGGGGCAACAATAGATAGATGTATGTATGTATGAACGTACATAAGTGTGTGTATGTCATGAAACTTTCGTGAAATTTGCGGCCTTCTCGGGGCCCTTCTTTGCCTTTTCTCTTTTTAGTCTAGAATGTTGTAAAATTTGTTATTCTTCGAATTTTTGTGATATGTTTTCAGTAAGTGTTGTAAAAATTTTTCTTCTGAATCATTTCCTTGCTAAAACTGTCAAAAAAAGAATAATAATAATTGGCTAGGCAATTTTGGCCACTACGTTCAATCTCAGACATATCTATTCTTCATATTCAAGGTGTTCGCGGCTATTTACCGACGGGTTAAGATTACAAAAAATATGATCAGGCGAATCATTACATGTTGCTGAATGCGCAGTGAGGACTTTTACGTACCGACATCTTTGATGATCACGCAATCTTCTTCACTTCCAACACTGCAAGTAGAGTTTAAAAAATCAGATGGTGGTCTAATTAATATGTTTACTAGAAAGGGCAAAAGTTCGTTTGCAACAAGTATTAACCTGTAGGCGATTCTATTTTGGAATAGCCTTTAATTCTGTAAGGTTTTGATTATCCTTAGCCGAGAAGTGCTTCTTCCTGCTTATTTGGAGATGGAGCGATCGGCTTTCGAATATTACTCCAAGAAATGGTATAGACGGCAATAGGTATGAACAGTCAAGGAAAATCTACCTCTTAATGTCATGTAGAGTAAGTGAAATAAAGAACACGTTAACAGCACAAGCTACAATGATTTCTTTTCATTACAACATTTGAAAGGGCTGCGGATCTCGCGACGTTTTGACACTTTCAGCCAATAATTTGGCTAGGTTAGTCTAGTCCGTATTTAAAGGATATTATAAAGATCGTGGTCCTGTCCTCCGGATAAGGTGCGCAATAAACCATTGGTCATAACATACTCTTTAACTTTTAAGCCATCGTACACAGCCCTATAAAAATAAAGGCATAGTTGACCGTTACTTCACTTTATAACACGTGCCAAAAATGTCAGAGCCGGCTAGTTTCCTTATATCCGCAAGAGAACAAGAAGAGTCACTTGTCCTCCCAAGGTCGGCTAGGCTCCCCATGGCTAGCAAACCTTTTATAGATTTTCTTGCCAAACTTGGCGAACCATTAACATTGACAAGAAGCGGGAAAATAGCTCGGCTAGAAGGATGACCCGCCTAGTTGAATACGTTTATAAACGATTTTAAAAAAAGGCAGAGAGAGAGAGAGAGAGAACAATCAATTTATGCAATCCTCAATGAAGGTGCTTACCATTTATCCGCTTCAGCCTCTGGTTTTACACAGGAGTAAAATCTTCCATCCTCTGCTGTTACGACAAGGTCAAACAATTTATAGCCTTCTCCAGAAGTGCTATCTATTGAATGGAGAGTTTCGTGCTCGGGCTTTAATAGGTCCTCGACTGGGATGTCGGTGTCCACCAAAACTGTTTTAGTGTTCTTTAATCAAGAAATCATGAAAATACCGTAAAATTCAGAAAGTAAGCCCCTCCAAATATAAACCCCCCAAACCGGTAACGCGGCAAAAAACCCTCTGTTAGATCGCCCCTCTAAATATACGCTCCCCCCCCCGGGGGGGTGGCTTGTACTTGAAAGTTGCCCTCAAATACAGAGTAAAACAAAGCAAAAACGGTAAATTTAATTCCAACAATAAGGCTAGCCCAATCTATTTCGAAACGCAAATTTCCCTCCATAGATAAGCCCCTCCAAACGGGGCCTTTGAAAAATATAAGCTCCGGGGCTTATTTTCGGAATTTTATGGTAACTGAATTTGATTACAAACAAAGAAACAAAAGAGTTAACGGTAAAGTAGTTTGGCCCGAGTAATATACTGCCTGTGTCTGAAGCCTTACCATTTTCCCGCGTTTTGAGGTTCTATCGAGACCTACAATAAGGCAATCGGGACAATCTTTCCACAGTTGACAGCTAATGGCACACAAATCCGCTTCCTTGGCTATTGCAAGAAAAAAAAAGTTTAATTCAACAAGCAGGAGCAAGATAATCACGAGTAACCAAGCCAACTACGCGAGTATCAACAACGCTAACGTTAAAAAAAAGAAAAGAAATGCGAGAAAAAAAAAAAAGAATGGAAGGAAAGAAAGATGCGCTGCCCTATGAATCAAACATCGACTACTATCGATAAATTGTCGAAAACAGACCGGCAATATTGAATTGCAATGTAATAGTTGATATACGCTAACAGCAAGCAAGCAGTGAAATATATGTAGGTTGCTGTCTCCTGACCTCCTGTGTGTTGATTGGGATATCTATCTTTCCATGTCTGCTTCCAGTCCGAAAACGGTAGGGGACTGTTACTTTTTAAATTTTCATTCAGAACATCGCGCAAACGATCATCCATGCTTGCGGAGTTGGCAGAAGATGACCGAATCTTTATAGTGAGCGTCATAGTCACTAACAAAAGTCAAGGATATAAATCTTAATACAGTAGAGTTGATCTTTGGAGAATGAGGCTGTTACAGTAAGGGAGGATTTCAGGTTTGAAAGGATACGGCAAGAATCCTCAATGTCTTCCTCTAGGGTGATTTCCTCTGACTGTGAACTGTTGAGCGTTGTGCGAGTAGACCTTTTGCCCGCTAGTAACTTGCCAAGGATTCCAGCTGTCTATAGTATAAACCAAACGAATTAAACGGGATTTACTCAGTTGATTTAATACCGTAAGGCGTTCAGCAGCCTCATGGTTGCTCGCTGCACGTTTACCAGTTTTTAATTTGAACTATAAGTCTGCATTTACTTACCACTTCATTTTCTGCTATGCAACGCAACAAACTGTCCAATATTGCGTTTGCTTCCATTGTATCATCCTTCCCGGTTGTTATTTCCATCCCCGAAAGAATGGAATCTAGCACTCCCCTTACTCTTACATCCGCACTACCTCTAACTGCAAAGCACTGATATATATCAAGAAGACAAAAAGAGTACAATTTTATTAGCGTCGTTCGTACCCAGTAACTCCAGATTTACTTTTGTGAAACATATTTGCAGACAGAAGACAAAACTCATGTAGTGTCAAATTTCTTTGGTCATCAGTAGCTTAAACTTATGACTCCAACTTTACAATAGGTTCTACCTTTATTAAAACATCGGAGAAACTGATTTTACCTGTTGAAGTTTTTTAATAAATTCGCTGCTCCCTTTCTCCACAAGGCTCATGATTGGGTGGATCCATTGCAATACACACAAAACTGACACTAAGCCACCTCTACGCCCTCCTAGGTTCATTAATCCTATAAATAAAAGAGGTAATGTTTTTTTCCCATTAAAGGACCAACTCTTTCAGTTGTATTAAGAAGGAAATCAAAGTTATATTGGGGCAGCACGTAGTGACTTTTGTTCGGTGAGATTTGCCTTTATTCATGAATTTTTATAGCTCGAGAAAGGCTAAAATGAAAAGAGCAACATGTAGCATATATACATTCCGGGATAACCGTATTGTTCTTGTAAGATGAGCGGAGTGTTCCTAAACGTTTACCCATGGTTTTGGAAGGACGTTTCTTTCACCTTTTTAGCCTAAGACATTGCAATTAGTTTTATAAAAGGCCTTCTGAAAATTCGGTCTTAATGAAAATGCGGCTAGAGTAGTATAAGTAATGTTGTCTATCCTCGAACTTCGGACCTGTCTTATCAGGGCAGCTGACAGCTTCGAGCACAGTTTCGTGCAGGGCAAGTTCAAATTAACCAAACAGGCTTGTCAAACATATGAAAGTATTTTGAAATGTATTTGGGTTGTCGAATGGCCTGTCCTATCCATCACACTAGTCCAATACCCATGCGAAGAAGCCCACCATGGGCGGCTGGCAGGTAATAAAAAATGGCGGAATATTTTATGAAATGTACGTCACCTGTTTCTTTTAAACTAGACTTTTTCAGTTGCAGCTCTCCGGTCTCACGATGACCACGGAAAACCTGTTTCCCAAAAAAAAAAATCAAAGTAAGACAGGTACCGCATTGTTCGCGATTGTTCAAAATTAGCCTACGTGTGCCAGCACCCTATCCATACAAGAGGAGTGATGTCACATCGCATTTCAGAATAAATGGAAAGGGAAAGTTCATAAACATGGTCACTTTTCTTTTTGTGGAGAGTGAATGCTGGATAACGGAGACTGAAGGAGGGGAAAAAAAATCTGTCACGGCTTACTTTACTCGTTGCCTCTTCAGCCCGGAAATTGGAAATAGCACCCCTTGAGTCGGCGACGACAGAATTATCTTCGTTTAAGAGAGTACGCCGAAACTGCCAAAAAGAGGAAAAAAAATGAAAGAAACTAAGAAACGTAACAAATAATATATACTCAAATACACAATTTACTGTATAGCTCCCCCTTTTACCCTACACACAGTGGCTGTATCAAATAAAACGAAAAAAAAAAAGTAATTAATTATTGAAATTAGTTGTACAGATTTGGGTGATAAAATAAGGCATAATAAAGTGAAACATTAATTTTGAAAGCTATCTACATTTCAACAATAAGATGATATCTATGAATGATAAAAAGTTCTTTTTCCCCAAAAAACGATACAACTTTCCGTGTACCTGCACTTGATGATAATGATGATGATGTTAATGAAAATAGTAATAATAAGATTAATAATGATAATAATGCATACATACATACAAACATACATACACCCTTACATACACACATACACACGTCCGCTGTTAAAAGATGAGCGGGAAAATTACTATTAAATAAAAGCATGCAAATGAAGTAAAACCTCTCATATTCCCTATTCGAGGACTGTATTTCTGTAAATCCGTATCCTTTTGGCCGCACATATACATGCACGTACAGCCGAAATATGGGATACTGCCCCCCCCCCTTCCCCCCTTAGCACACCCACGCAATATGTCTTCTTCTTGTTTAATCAGGAAACACTGTGAGAGGTTCTAAGTCACGTGGCGAATAAAGGAATGAGAAAAAGGCACATTGGATATTACCTGTCTCCCCCTTTCTTCCACTTCCACAGGACTTAAGTGCATCTGCGGAGTTACGACGTGTTCCTCCTCAGGTTCGTCCTAGTCAAAGCACAGAGTCATTAAGTTAAGAAAAGAGTACTATTTTTTATAGGACGAAGGACTTAATCCGCAAAACCCCAGAGATCCACTATTTCAAGTACTACCTCTTATCTGTTCGACCGTACTAATTAAGTTCTTCCGGAAAGTCGATATATTTTTTTATTCAGTCTATGCAGGTTAAGGTGACAAAGGTTGACGCAAAATTGTTATCACTCACATATCCCCTCCGTATGGCTATAAACCTTAAGCCCTCTATTCTGGCTTTAAAATAATTGCGGTTAAAAAATCGTTACGCTACGCGCCTCCAGTTAAGTAATAAGCGTCGTGGAAATTAGTTTACAACAAGCACTTATCTGTTTTTTCATTTACGGGTCGTGGCTTACCTCATTAGTCGGTGTTGCGGGAGAATCCAGCACGACATAAACGGCACCATTCCCTTTTAAGGTCCATACTCCCCGTGCATCAAGATTTTGGTCGGCCACTAAAGTGAGAAAGTTCCTATTTCTCCGCGCTGCATAAGAAAACTGCCCATCAAAATCTTGAAACTGCCGACGGATGACACCCATTATCTTTTCCCTTACTAAATCTTCTGTCTGATCCTCGGTTAAAAAAAACGCCGTTTCTAGTATGGCCTGACCTTGGTAGTTGGAGATGCTCTTGGTTTCTTCAAACAGTTCCGGGACGTGATCGACGACCCTGAGCATCATGTCGAACCGTTTTGGTTCACGCCCTGCTCCTCTCTTACCGCTTTGTCTGTAAGGAGCAAAGCGGTGAGAAGAAGAGGACCTCTGCTGCCTGGTAACAGATGGTAGGGTTGCTCGACTAGTTGAGGAGCCACTCGAAGTACCAGGATTCGAACGAAACGAACGGGAGACGTCGTTGGCCAGCCTCGTGTCCGACCGAAGAGAATTTAGAGAGCTCCTTGCATTTTCTAATGCATTAGATACACCATTGTCAGATGATGAACGACCTATTAGATCAGCAAGCTGCGAAGCAGAGCTAGAAAACCTACTTAGTATCTCAGTAATATTATCATTTGAACTCATCTTGACCTAATCGAAAAAAAGAAGAAACCCGACGATATACACATTGATGCAAAGTTTATAGCAGAAGGTGTGAAAACGACATAGGCGTGGCAAAAGGAGAAATCAAATTTTGAGACTTGTATCCGTAAATATCTTCATTGTATTTCCGACCTGTTTACGTTGTACTAAAGGAAGTTTTAATAGGAAGTGTTGCCGACATGTCCCCCATGTTAGCTGCAAACCAGCCGAGGGTATTGTTCGTTCATTTGGAATTGAAACACTAAATACATTTGTACACTCCCGTGGTTCCCTTGAAAGCCATGACCGATTCCAACAGTGATTCCAGACCAAAATGACAAAAGTCTATACCTGTTTTCAGACCAAAACGGCGCAAAAACCTTACCTATATTGTCCTATATGTTAACAAATTTTTTTCGCGATTAAACTGCCCTATCACATATTTGCTGGTTTTCCGCCAATTAGCAAGGAAATGGTTAAAATTAGATTTGCATCACGGGGTGTATTTTTCAGCCAAAGGGGAAGTAAAGACTTTTTGGCCGCATAAGAAGAAAAAAGACAACCAAGGAGAACTCTATTCCGACCTTGATCACTCGACCTTGGCTTTGACTTTCAAGATCGCCTGAACTTCTGTCAAAGTAGTGCTATAACCTAGATGCACTCTATAAAGTAACAGTTAGACCGTGTTAATATTCGAACAACAACGGATTTATAACCCTAACCAAAAAGGATGATGAAAACAACTTTATAGCCGGGGTCGATTATTCAATGAGTTGAGATATTTTCATGTAAACTTTCTGCAATAATTTCACCCCATTTGCGTGATGGGTGATGGTTTTAAAAAAGTCAGCGTCATGTGTGCTAGAAACCCCCGTTTTGCCACCCTGATCAATCGCATTCCGTTATTTCCACCGCCAATGAAGAAAAAAAGAAAAACCGACACAGATACAGGCGGCATTTTCGATTAATATAGCTGGGACAGCAAAAGCGCATTATTTCTATCACGAACTCTTTTTTTAGAACCGAAAAAAAATAAAATTACTTCTCGGCTCTGCATAAACACGTGGTCATAGACGTGACAATCTGGTCAGTTACCAGAGTGTGACAAAGTACGACCTTCGGTTCCAAATATTCCAGCTCAACAATAAAGAAAGATCCGGATACGTGTAACATTGTAAAAAAACAGAAAATGATAATCTCGGGAAGTGTCGGCGAGTATCAAAACACTGTTATAGACCGCAACAGTTGCCAGTTCCTTCCAATGGAAGACCATCATTCGAGCACAACTGAAACCGGCAACTTCGAATCATATCAACAAGTGAAGTCTTACATTTAGAATTTAGCGAATGCAAAATAATATATATTATCTTCATTCAAATTTGTCGCTCCGCATTACTTGCCGCCTCACTCAAGAAAAGCAGCATTCCAGATAACAACTGATCGATCATATAACAACTGATCGATTTTAGTGACAAGTGAATGAAATTACGCACTACTGATCGATCATATAACAACTGATCGATTTTATTCACAACTGAATGAAAATACGCACAACTGATCGATCATATAACAACTGATCGATTTTAAGCACAACTGAATGAAATTACGCACTACTTATCGATCATATAACAACTGATCGATTTTAGTCACAACTGAATGAAAATACGCACTACTGATCGATCATATAACAACTGATCGATTTTATTCACAACTGAATGAGGGGGGCGTAAGGGGGGTACGAATACCGCAATACCGCACATGGTAGCGCGAGAATACCGTAATACCGCATCACAATTTACCCAAATACCGAAACCGCAGTTACCAATGGGATAAAGTTGACTTTGCCAATCCTCCTTTCACATAGAAATAATACTTTTATGTCAGTGTTTCAAAATCAAGGTGCTTCGATGTCAAGCGTACATGTACAATAAACATAAGATCATCGCACTCGTTTAATTTTGTTCATTACACGTATATGTTTACGTAAATGATACAACAGGAGTTTCCTATTATTACTTTCACTTTTATGAGGTTGTTTCAGGTTCACAATTAACTCGGTTCTGTGTTGAGGGTTTCAAGACGTCTACTAGGGCTGCCTTTGGGATTCGAAGGGCACACAGCACACACTAGCCTTAGGCTTGGACAAATTCTGCCGGCAGAATAGGGCTTTTTCGAGCAGAATTTGAGCAGAATAAGGGAAAGTCAGCGGCGCTAATGATTTGCATAACAGTTGTAAGAAAAATTTAAAACTAAATAAAAAACAAATGGAAAATACCTTGTGATTAATTCGATTATTAAATAGCTACAACGCATTCACATTAAAGTAAGATGAATTACAATATCTAATTAGTTTTAAGGGGTTAGGCCCAGGTTCCTTACTATATTTGCGAAAATAAATACGGCCCGAGGGCGGGGTGTCCGAGCAGAATTTTGAGCAGAATAAGCGATTTTTACGAGCACTGCCGGCATGGGAATAAGCCAATTTACGAGCAGAATTTTTCCAAGCCTAACTAGCCTGCGTAGCATGGCGATTTTGGTTGAGCACGCTGAATAAAAAAGGCGGGCGCGGGTCAGGAGACTGGGACGGGAGCTGTTTCGCCCCTCCGTCGTGCTCCGGACTAAACCACGCAAAACCACCATGCTACGCAGGCTAAGCACACACGAAAACTACAGGGGCATCTAGCATCAATTTTTGGAAAATATCTGTTCGGAAGACAATTTGAGATCTAGAATTTTCGGAATATTTGTTGTAAAATTTCTTGCTTGCCTGCCTCTCCTAGGATTTTCGAACATCTAAAAAATGGTATAATTGCCCATTTTTAACGGATTTTTACCCTAAAAAGATCACCTAGAATTCTCGGGAGCCTTTTTTCTGGCTGAAATTTTCGAAAAGGTAAGTTTTGACCCCTATAATTTTCGGATCACTAGACTTTCAGCTAGGAAATCCGAACAGATAAAAAATTTTCAGGGGATAAGAATATGCCTACATCTACCGTTTAAATGTTAAAATACGTTCAACAATGTTATGTTTAAGTCGTTTTGAACTATATTCTCGTTGGGTGCCCCTGATACTAGTACTTTCTATATTCCTGCATGCACAACGAGAAGGACGAGTAGTAATTTTGAGACCACACCTTCTTCATAGATTATCTTTGGAGACTACGCAGTTTATAACGACTTCACTGACCTCACTATTTTCTGGAATATCTGACTATTCACTTAGTTGACCTTCTGGATCGCTCGCCGTTGTTTCGCGAGTGGCACGAAAGTGACGATGAGGTTGGTAAGGAGGTTAACCAAGCCAATTATTTCCACAAGGTCGACCATGAGGTCATAAATAATGCGACATGTTTACGTATCATTGGATAAAAAAGTTAATGTCGTTAATCATATCAAGTATTAACTGAAATTACAAGCCAAACGATTTGTCTGGACTATTTGCGAAATGCGATCCCCGACCGTGCAACGTGGAAGACACGCAGGCTAGCCAGCGAGACCTTTTAGGATTTGTATCCTCTTGTCATGAAAAAGAAGCAGATCACCGCGACACAAGGATATTTCACCGAATACCGCGACATGAAATTTAAACTTACCGCACACCGCTTGGGCTCTGAAAACCGCAATACCGTACTTTGAAATAAAAATTACCGCAACACCGCACAAAAAATAACCCAATACCGCAATACCGCAAACCCTTACGCCCCCCTCCTGAATGAAAATACGCACTACTGATCGATCATATAACAACTGATCGCTTTTAGTCACAACTGAATGAAATTACGCACTACTGATCGATCATATAACAACTGATCGATTTTAGTCACAACTGAATGAAAATACGCACTACTGATCGATCATATAACAACTGATCGATTTTAGTCACAACTGAATGAAAATACGCACTACTGATCGATCATATAACAACTGATCGATTTTAGTCACAACTGAATGAAAATACGCACTACTGATCGATCATATAACAACTGATCGATTATAGTCACAACTGAATGAAAATACGCACTACTGATCGATCATATAACAACTGATCGATTATGGTCACAACTGAATGAAATAACGCACTACTGATCGATCATATAACAACTGATCGATTTTAGTCACAACTGAATGAAAATACGCACTACTGATCGATCATATAACAACTGATCGATTTTAAGCACAACTGAATGAAATTACGCACTACTTATCGATCATATAACAACTGATCGATTTTAGTCACAACTGAATGAAAATATGCAATACTGATCGATCATATTACAACTGATCGATTATCAGCCAAACTGATCAAAATTTGAGACAGCTTCTCATGGTTGATTACGGACAACTGATCGACAACTGACCAATTGATGATATGCTGGCTGATCGATTTTACGTCTCTGGTAGAAAATTAGCACAATATAACAATATTTTAATTGATCGATAACTGGTCGGCAAATCCGGTCCGCAAAACTGATTAAAAATTTATAACCAATGAAAAAATTAATTTTGAAACAAACGGCGCGCCATATGCTTGCTGCATTTTGAGCTGGTTTAGAGTTAAATTGATCGCTCACATATACAAATGTTAGCTTATTTTAAGATGTGTCTAGTTTGCTTAAGGTTTTCAACACCGGTGAACACGACACAGTTAATTCAGTAAGCTTTTAAGCTTATTAAATGTGAGAAGAAAATTACAGAAATGATAAATTGACGGACCCAAAATTGCCCTTACCCCAACGCAGCTCAAGGATGCATAATGCAGCATGGAAATGAATGTGCACGAGCTTCCAAACAGAACCTCATCTAAGACGAATTTTTCATTTGTATGTCCTCCATGGGCTGATCCAGAGGAGGGAACGGGGGAGACTAAGTTCGATAGTATTTGAGATGCTCTCATTGGTTGTCGAAGTTTGTTTATGTTGCTCTTGGGCTGCATAACAAAACATAACAACAGAAAAACAACAATGTCTCTGTCAGTCAACGGCTAAAAAGGAACCAGACTTAAC